TAATCGAAAAGAAACAATGAACGAGATAGAAAAGATATGTAAGCAATATCAAAAAAGAAGTACGTAGAAAAATACACGAAGGAGAAAGAAAGGAAAAAAAGAAAATGATATATATATAGACTCCACCATATAGTACTACAGAGACGGTTCTGATGTCAAAATAATAACAGAACAACAGAAGATATGTACGTAGCCATAATTCTTTCAGCATCAGATAAGGATCAACACTTCATGCTTATATTCACTTTCTGAGACTACTTCAAACCAGACTTTTGGTATGAAACATGTCTTAAATGTTATCGCATGATCAACCGAAATATTCTCGAGATTCTGTCAGATCACAATCGATTTTAGACTTTAACCACATCTTTATGATGAGCATCCAGAGCTCTAGTAGATCGAATAGATATTGAGTCATTATCTAAAAAAAAACTTTATCGATCTACCCAATCTCGTCACCAGGGCTGGCCTAAATCAAAAATTCTTTTTCATTGTTGCAAAAACTACACAGATCATTTAATTTAGGACTATGTCCTGACTATTACTGGATTCAATTGTTCGATGAAAGCTGAGATTATAAAATGACCTTATACGTACATATGTTTTCTTCGAAGAATGAATATTGGTTCGAATTTCATTCACTTAGTATTCAGACAAATATCAGACGTTGTAATACGATCTCAAAAAAAAAGACAATCTGCAATAATGAACCCTAGAAGCTAATGTGACACCATCGGATACTAAATGTATCAAATAATTTGAGTTTGATACTCGGCAATGTTAGACATGGAAACATGTATTGGCGAAGATTTATATATTAAAAAATATCTTAAACATAAAGGAGATTTGAGAAAAAAGATTCGTAATCAAAGCCAAGCTCACCAAACTCGAAGAGTTTCGGTTTGATGTAAAACTAATAATGACACATATATAAGTCTTACATTTTATTAAAATTTCATATGGCTGTCTCATTTTTATTATCAAACAGCGTTAAAATGCACAAATATCATCAATGGCAAGCTCTCGACTATAAATTCTAAAATCATCTATGTCACCATAAAATGCTGTCGTTAAACCAACCTCACCAAATGCACAACTATTATTTGGTCTATTGGCTAATCTGACATAATTTGACGCTGAACTGGCTGTGTAAGTCACTAGCGATGGATCCGATGCTATTAGAACACGGTCAATATAGAGTCGAAGTCCATTTATTGAACTCCATGTTTCAACAATATGGTACCATACTGAAGATATTGACAGAGCTGGACCAAAAACAGTTCGAGCAGGACCATTCCATATTTGAGCCACTATAGAACCATTAGTGGCAAAGCCTATAAACGAAAGGCACCAACCAGCACCTACTGCAGTACTTGAAACGTAAACGATTGTTCCCGATAATGAATGAGGTCGAATCCATAGAGAAATTGAGAAAGATTTATTGGTAGTACCAAGTCCAGTAAGACCACTTATTTGCAAATATGATGTTGAATTATTGAAAGAAATAGCTTTAGAGGAATAACCAGATGATGTAAAAGAGACGAACTGTGAAGTACTTGATAAAGAATTAGGTCCAGAATCATTCAGTATAGGACTATTATCAAAATCATAATACGTTGCCAATGTAGCATCATCAAGTATTTCACATGCTGATTTTGCTCGATTGACAATTGTTAATTGATCAATATAACCCTACATGATAAAAAAAAAACGTTGCATTTTCACTTATAAAACAAGTCGAAAAAAAAATCTACCTGAAAAAAGTTACTCCCATAAACTGCTACAATTCCTGGTATATAGCCTATTGTAACATTGTTTTCAATACCTTGAAGAGGTAACGCTGATATGCAATATCCAACAAGATTTCCATTCCGATAAATTGACATAGCAAGTGTAACCTTATCAAAGACAAATGCAGCATGTGTCCATGTATTTAATGGTACAGATTCACTGCTTTCACAATTGTCACCAGCAAAGGACATATAGAGGCTATGTATAGAAGTAAAATTTCGAATAGTTAAATGAAGACATTGATCACTTGATAGGTTTATAGAAAGACCGAGAATAGCATGATCTATTGGATTCGGCCATCAAGTAGGATATAGCCAAAGTTCAACTGTAAAACTAGCATTTATTAAAGGAATGTATGAAGTGTATAGATATTGATTAGAAGTTGCACTGAGTACGAGAGCTCGATTTACATAACCATTGGAAATAAAAGATGGATTATTCATTGCGATTGCAGTATAAGTATTCATTTCGTCGTGAAATGTTCCATTAAATGTCCATTTAGCGAGAAGACCTGATGACGAAATCCATGTTTGATTCAGACATGAAAAACTACATATCCTCGAAGTCGTCGTACCTGAAAACAAACATTATTTATTCCCAAATAATTCTTTTAAGGTCCCTGTCAAAGATCTATTTTCGTTCCAGAACAACCGACCTCGCTGAAAATTCCAGAAAACATGGATATAAGCCTAAGAAGTTTACAGTAAAAATTTCAGCCTGAAATACTGAGTTCTTCAAGAGTTATTCCTATATCAACGACCAAAAAGTAGGTCCTCATGCATCTTCGTAGTGCAATTCACGTGAGACTACATCGAAGGAATACATGAAGCGCACTTGCCAGAATATTGAGTGTATGTTCTCCAAGCCAGAACCCTATAGGCAAAGCTACAGAACTTCAAAAAACTAAAATTTACCAAACATTTTCTGCTTGTGAATTTTTTACAAAATCCGTTGAAAATTGTGGAAAAAACCATCTGAAAACCTCTTCAAATCATCGTAAAAACTAAGAGTAATAGTGATTCCGGAAGTAGAAAATGTGTGCTATTCAACCAGAGAGAAAGCTCAAAAATCGATATTTTTGACAGAGAACCTTAATGAAATGATTTTAGATGAAAAAGTACGGCTTTGTTCATCGTTGTATAGAATTATCTTACTTGTTGAGGAGGTTGACGAGCTGGACGAGCTTGAGGAAGTTGACGAGCTTGACGAGGTTGACGAGCTTGAGGAGGTTGAAGAGCTTGACGAGCTTGAAGAAGTTGACGAGCTTGACAAGGTTGACGAGGTTGAGGAGGTTGCCGAGCTTGAGGAAGTTGACGAACTTATCGATGATGTTGTTGATATGGTTGTGAGAGCTATTTGTTAACAATGATTTGGATAGGGAAATTTATAATAATAGAACTTCACACTCACTCGTTATCGATGCTGTTGTTATTGGAGATTTGTCTTTAACTAAGACAGCAATAGAAATCGTAGCAATTACACAAACAAGAAGAGCAGCAGCAAGCACAGACCAAGTCACACACAAAGGTGTACAAAAACGGCAAGGAGCACCGAAATTTCTAGAAGAAATCTTTCAGTATAAGAGAACTGAGATCATCTAACTCACCTTCGTTCCTTTCGTTGTTTTCTTCGACTTGGATATGAATTGATCTACTTGGATTAAATAGAAGCAATAATAGAAAGAATAAGAAAGCATACTGTATTGACATTCTGATCATTGGACAGGCTGACATCGAATTTACCGAGACTTATCATATGATTAATGTCTTCAACAGGTAGCGCAGTATTCAACTACAAATGCAAAGATCTTTGTTTAGATATTTTTTATGATCGATTTATCTAACAAAAAAAAGCTCAACGCTTTTAAAAAGTGCATCGATTTCGGTGTATTATTAATATCCAGAATACAAATTTAAAACGTATTATACTATGTTTGCAAGTTCATGCAATGATCTATGTTAATAATGAATTCTACTTACGTTAAGAGAATGTGTTACAATAGATGATCGTTTACTTGATCTTTTACGTGGAAGCGAATGATGATCAAAAGTTGTAGCAGATGAAAACTGTATATATGTATCGAATACATTTAATAAATTTATGTAATTGATCAACATTTTTTTAAACAAATGATTACCTTATCGTCATTCAAAGGACGAATTTTACTTGACGAGCGAACTCCTATTTGAACCGTACCAATTGGTGAAATATCTAATGTCAATGATTGACGACGCTAAAAATCAATTCAATGAATGTCATTATCTGATTATTGTGTAGAAAGTCATTTTTCAGTAGCTCACATGACTTTGAGACGATCGATGGCGGCGATGACGATGAAGTTTAATGACGCGGAATGATCTTGATGGCTGACGTCTAGTCGATAGCATGACCTTGAATAAAATCTTAGATTCTATATGAAAACGTCAACTTTTGACTAATTCAGTTAGCAGTGAGTATGCATACGCTACAGAATGACGGCAATATTGACTATAAAATTCTGATTGTATGTTTCGATCTGTGTAGATGATTTCTTGCATTATTTCATTAACGCATAATAGAAAATAATAATTAGAATTTTTTGTGCATATACTTCATATATCGAAATTGTAAATTACTATACTATTGAAAGGCTTCTCGCTCATAGACACAATATGTAAAATTGATAATTCAATTTCTTTAGAAAGAGATTTGGTCAGACACGTCACATTTTAATTAAAAGGTGTGCACATAGCTAATCCGAACAATATGTAAAGTTGTTTCTTTAAGGTATAAAAAATGCAAAACCAATGCAATTTTTTTTTCTTTTTGATACATTGTTAGAGAGAGAGAGATCGGCGAACTATGTAAGAATATGCATATTATAATTATTTTTTGAAAGCTCTCCGGTGAAAAAAAATTCAATTTTTTCGATAGCCTTGAATAGTTCATTTTTTCTAACAAAAAAAAAACATTTTTGATGGTAAACAACTGACATAGTTTATCAATTTGAAGAAAATCTTTCATTCTATTAGAGCTATAAAACTGATATATTCAAATTCATCATTAAAAACTGAATCTATGGCATTTATATATGACTCATTTATGATGATGTTCAATAATATTATGTTCATAAAATACATAAAGTCGAATAGTAGCAAAAAGTAATCAATTGATACTTTCATGAACTTTTTTGCAAAGCTATCTATATTTCTTTTATCTCAATAAATAGCTTAATATTATATACTATCAAAAGTGTCAAACATTGCGCTACAATAATATTTCTTTGATTTTTCGAAATATTATTTTGTAGAACTCACGTATATATTCGAAGAAAATAATGAATGTAAGTTTTAAGTCGAAATTTTGCGGCTTCTCCATCCCCATTACATACCTTAGCAATCGAAAACAACCTGCATCAGACTCCTGTTTCAGAATCCCTTAGCAACCGAAAAAGATGTTGAACACCATTAACGATATGAATTAGACTATTCTAGAATATTTCAACACCTTCATCGAAATCTGAATGATTGGAATACATTTGTGAATGTTTTAAATAGTATAGTTTTTTAATTTTGCTCAGATAAAAATTTATATTCAAAATATTAACGATGATGAGTAGTGATGTGTACTGATTTGCTACAATTGTCATATGATCAACATAAAAAGCGTCAATTGATCAAGTTGTAACTTTGAAAAATAATCCATATTAGTGTTTGTGAGTTGATCGAATATATAATAGTGTGTGAAGACTTGCTGCTATAGATATAATAGATATTTACAGTAGTCTTATTTGTCATTTAATTCAATGTTTATAATAACTTGTAAAAGAAAAGAAAAAAATTCTGTTTGAAATGCAGAAATAAATAAGACAGATTTTTACTCTGTGATCGGTTATCTCGGAAAACAAGTATAATTTATGAGAGATTTTTAATTTTACATATTTTGTATTAGTTTAATGAGACTGAAGAATATATGTAAGTTCCACATTTTAGCTCCACAGTGGCTGTACTAACAAACTTTTGTTAAAGAGATATGTCGTCATTTTTACAAGTAACATTCGTCGTTTACATTCACTTGACTCTCGATTCAATGTACAACTCTTTCTGTATAATACACTATTTCACCACCATTATCAACACTAATATCCCATGTATGCAGAAGGGCGGGTATGAATGTGGGTGTGCCTCTCCTAGTTGGTGTCTGTCGTGTGGTGCTTCCCTTCAACAAAATAACTAATCACACTTATACTAACACACTCACATATCTGCACAATACATCAACAAATCCATACAACACCTCAATATACTCACACCCAACATCATATACTACCACTTTCACACCGACAAACACATCAAAATCTACACACCACCGCATTCACATATCATATCAATAGATCCATACTCCAACGCAACACATCTGCACATGATACACCACACTTCCAAGCCCACAAGCACAACCACATCCACGTTCCAATCCATGCTCACACTCAACATTATACACCCAGTGATTTTTGTTTTTTAGTGATTCACTTCTTGAAAATACTGTTATTATTATTTGTGACGTTTCGGCAAGTCGATGCTGCCTTCTTCAGACTTTATTAATAGAAATAAGTTAACATTCAGTGTTTAAATACAAAACGTACTCAAATGAACTCTAGATTTTTCTATTCTTCTTTTTCTTTTCTGTTATGATTTTTGATAGTAGGTCGGCAAGACGATGATAGCTGGTAGAAGTGACGTTGTATATCATCCTCTGCCGACCCACTATCAAAAATCATAACAGAAAAGAAAAAGAAGAATAGAAAAATGAAGAAAAATCTAGAGTTCATTTGAGTACATTTTGTATTTAAACACTGAATGTTAATTTATTTCTATTAATAAAGTCTGAAGAAGGCAACATCGACTTGCCGAAACGTCACAAAAAAATAATAACAGTATTTTCAAGAAGAGAATTACTAAAAAACAAAAATCATTTATGACCTTCCTTAACAAATATGAATTATACACCCAGAAGCCTCGCGAGGGTTTCAAGATTGAGAGCTGGCTGTTAGTAGGATGTGTAAGAAAATACCTCATAAAAATAGTAAGACATTCAAAAATTCTTGGTAGTTATATTGAAAAATAATGAATAATTTCCAATTATTGGGGACATGTACACCTCCGTTTTCCAGACTTCTGCATACACTGAACTCCCATATTCACATCGACGCTCTCACAAAAATACACCTACATCCATCCAAAATGAGACCGAAAACAAAAGATCTACTTGAGAGTGAGGACGAAGATAAGATTAAGGGTCGAAAATCTAACAGGTGTCCCAAGATAAATTACACTAAATCTCAGTACATTTTTCTCTCGTTTCTTGATTATCGAAAAAAAATTCTCTTCTATGTCGAACGATAGGGAATTTCATTCTCTACAAAATTGTCAATTTGATTTTTTAAACAAATATTCTTTGTCAATGCAAAATTTAACAGATGAACATATACGCAATTGTCTAATTGCGATGGTAAAAGAAAATTAAAAAAAAAATGATAAAATTTTAACTATGCCATAAAGTTCTCCGTAAAATTCTACATCTTTTGATGTATGTTTCAGAATTTTAGAACAAATATTTGAGAGAAACAGTTTCGAAGTTAAAAAATATATGAGAACACTGAAAAATAAACATTTCTGACAAACCTGTACCATTCTTATTTTTTAAACTCGAAACAATACGCAGATTTTCATTGTTCAATTGAACAATTACATTATTTTCTTCAAAATTAAATTCTACATCCAATGGCATAATAATAAATCTTGCATAACATGGTTTTCAACAGTGTACGCAAAAATATACACAGATACCAGTTTCAAGTCTTTCTTTCCTGAGCAACAGTACCGGAAATCTTGAAAAGGTTGTAGAAGCATAGAGCATGAAATTCTCTATCTATAGATGTTACATAATTTAGTTTTAGTATCGGCTTTGATGAACAAAGGCGTACATAAGTCAATAGATATCCGAAGAATATAGGAAATCACAATTGAATGATTGAGTAGATGTAAATCTTTTAAATTTTGCATTGACAGAGAATACCTGTTTGAAAAACAAAATTGACAGTTTTCTAGAGAATGAAATTCTCTATCGTTTGGCATAAGAGAAAATTTTTTTGATAACTAAGAGAGGGAAAATGCACTGAGATTTAGTGCAATTTGTTCTCGAACATCCGCTAGTTTAAGATAATGGCTGATTTCTGCTGAACTATGACTTACGTCTAATATAGATAGAATATGTTTTATATTATCAAGCAAGTAAAAATAATTTCAAAAAGCTAAATTCCAGTGGCTTCTTGAATATAGAACGGAATATTATACCATTGTTGATTTCAAATTTTCCTAAGAAGAAATAAAAATAATGATGTGTTTATTGTTGTTCAAAGAAGTTTAAGATTCCTTCCAATAGAAATGAAATTCTTTAATTTTTCTTACAAAATACAGAGAAAAAAAAATACATTATTTCAATCTGTCCTAAATTTTGATTTCGTCTAATACATATATAAAATAAAATTCAGAAAGTATCTATCAGTTAATTTCTTTGAGTAAACCCGTTTTCGTATCATATAAAAATCCACGTACAATTATATTCTGATTCAACATTGGATATTGCTTATATTCAGCAAGATCATCACGAATTGATTGTTCGATGTCAACAACTGGCATAAAATCAGATTTATCAAATTGATACCTTGATCGGGGGAGAATTAAATTACTTTTTAGTGTTCCTGTTTGCACCTGAAAAGTCAAGCATATTAAAATATACAATGAATATTAACAAAGAAAAAAAAAAAAAAGAAATTTAAACTCAAGAATAATTTAACCATGAGTGATGCCAATATTTGATCATTGCTTGAAAAATAAGTAAAACCACAATCAGTATGATGAATAATCATTAATTCTTTTGTTTGAAATAACGTTTGACTACAAATAAGTGAACGAACAGCATCACGAATACGACCACCACCTTCAATAAAAAAAAAAAGTCATTCACATATCATCGAATAAAAATACATTTAACTTAGATACCATTTCGAATGATGTGTGCTTCACCTGGTTGTAATCCTAGCATACGAAATATATCTAAGCGTGCATCCATACAACATATTATGACTAAATGTTTAGAAGGTATAACTCCATTATCATAAATATTTTCGTCATAAGTTTGGGTAAATTTGACATTATTCGTACAGCAGTTATCAATGAATGATTTTGCAGGAGGCACATTACTTGAATCAAGAGCAGCTGCAAGAAGAATATCATTCGTACACATGTCTATCTAATAAAATGAATTAAAATAATTAAGAAAAGATTAGCAAAATAATATATTAAGAAAATGAAATGAACAATAAATTCATCGAAAAAAAACAAAGTATATTTTATTGGACAAGCATATTACTATTTGCTACACAGATAGTTCAATGAGGACAAACAGAACAAAAGAATATTCTACCAATCCTGTTCTGGCATATTCAATGGTGATAGTGTAATGTATTTTTCTACGTTAACGAAAAGTGTCCTTAATGACACCACGATCTCGAATGACGATGATAGGAGAGAATGTCAATCAATAAGAAAGGTGCGTAATCTGAATCAAAGACGTAATCGATTTTTGAATTAGAATATTATTTAAATCTATTCAGTAATAGAATTAAATGAAATAAATTATAGTTATTGCAGATAATTAAGAAAAAAAGAATCCACGTTTTTTTTTTTTCGAATATTTTTATCAAAATTATATATACCCAATGAAGTAATCAGAAAAATATATTAAAAACTGAAGCTGATTTTATTCTATAAAATCTATATTTTTTTTTTAATGACCATGAAAGATTGTATTATGGAACAAATGATTTCAAACTTGTTTTTTCTATATAAAAAAAAAACTACTTGAATAAAAGTCGCTTTTTACTTGTTGAGAATTTTTTCTCAGCAGAGAACATAAGGTGTGTTTATTTCTACGTTTGTGTTAGTTCGTTTTCTAATTATTTTGAAACCTTTTTTTTTTGTTGATATTCATATAATAACTAAAAAAGATTGATAAAGATTTCATTTACAAACAAAGCTTTCATAATATAGAAATTACGTTTCAAATTTAAACTTTTTGCAATTGATCAGAATCAAATTATGTATTAGATATGAATAATATTTGATAAAATATGAATGAATTGTGAGTTTGTGGGTAGGCGTGTATTTTCTGTAATCCAACTAAACTCAAGTATTTACTTGTTTGAGAATATAATTTTTTTTTCTATCAACAGAACATTTCTACCTTTGACAGTAATTTTGATAGATACTGTTCTTCTACAGTTTCCTGATTATCAGTATACAAGGATCAGAAAGATTATATATTGAATATTTTAAATGAGATATAAATTAATATGCATCACTTGAAAGAAATAATGACGTCGAATCAAATAGGATACAACAAGTAGATGCTATCTGTACTATAACATAATTTTAAACTTCAGTGAAGATTCAAATGAGTACTTCGTTCTAGTTTGCCTTCAATGTAAAAGATAAATGTCCAGTATGAAAAACATAATTCAGCAGAAACTTGATTTATAATTCCGTTATAGTTTACTAATTCTATTTAGAAACTTTGATTCGAAAATGGAAAATTTGATCAATATATCTTCTATTGAGGTCAATTAATGCAAAATCGTATTCATTAAGAATTTGAACAAAGTTAAAGAAAAATCATGTCTACTAATTGTTATTGGACGATGAATTGAAATGAAAAAATCGTTAAAATTTCCAACTCTATTGACTCACAGCCTATAGAATCGAATGGTGAATCACTTATGTTCAAGTTTGATATTGATTTGTACTCCAGCTATTGTAGACATTAGCCAATTTACATAAATACTCGACGAAGTAAGACATTCTATTTGATTTCAATACAGCCTTTCCTATTGAAAGTGTTATTCAAGAGAAAGAAAATACTATTCCATATTGACGTATTCACATGATCATGTTAACAGATGGTAACATGACGAGTTTTCTCAAAAGCATTGAGCAGCATCGTTGATAAAATTCAACGGAATTCGAAACATTTTGAAGCGCAACGTCAATTGTGAATCTATTCAATACTTTCATGCAGCTGAACAATACTCTCCACTATTTATATCAACTAAAATTAAATATTTTCAATTAGTTCGATGACTATAATCTGCTATTGGATTATTGTACTCTAAAGCACAAAACTATTCATGTGCTCTTGAACAAAGAACAAGAATTATGAACAGATACGATATTTCATCTAGTAGAATTTTGTTTTTTGACTCGGTTTTATATATAGCCAGTTTAAATAGTATAAACATGTAGTTGAATTGTTCGAATGAGCTCTTGTTCACATTACCATCCATTAAAATAGTTTGACTGCTTTTTTTCTACTTATACTCAAGACAGTTTTTTTTTATCTCGAGAACGAAATGTTAAAGCATACAAAAATTCATTATCACTGAAGGAGAAAACATTCTATGATGTAAAATGCTAATTGGCAAAGAAGAACAATTAAAGTAGAATTTTTCACTGTTCATTTAATAAGATGGATATATTCTAGACTATATCATCTTTGAGATAATGCTTTCATTCTTATTTTCTTCTTCATTTTTGTATTATTCTTCTTGATCACGAAATTGTCTTTATTGGATATTCAAACTCAATCTATCGACACCATCTTCTGAAACAAACCATCATCAGTTCTAAACAACTTCGTGGTCAAAAAGAAGTTTTAACATCCACACCAGGCAACTGAATGATTAAAAAAGTATAAAATAAAAAAAAAGCGTTGAATGCAAAAATCGTCAACGTAATAACATAATTCATAAGATATCGGTCTTACGAAACAAAGAGCAAAGAACGCTGTTGTTATAGAATGATTCACTTATACATATTTTTCTTTCATTTCTTGTACAAAATCGTACAAATAACAAACACGACATATACTATATATGTATCACTTTTTTTTCTTTCTCCTTCATGTTCTTTTCAACGTATTCTCCTATTGATATTAATCAGGTATTTTTTTTCTCTCATCCATATTTATTTTCGATTATTTTGGTTTGTCAATAACTCGTTCACTGTATATACTAAATTTTTTGAAAATAAAAAAGACAAAAATTTGTTTTCGACGAGTTAAATCAATTCATCTGTTAACAAGCTAACAAATATACTCGCTGTTTATTGCCAAAAATATAATATGTGTGAGATCATAAACAGTATGTTGCTACACGACAGAATAAACAACGAAGAAAATACATAATATAACGGGATGAAAAAAAACCATAATAAAGAAGAGAGGGTTCACAACCAACAGATTATCATAGTTGATTCTATTACTTTTTAACAATCTGTTGTATTCATGTGTCTTTATTTGACATCAATGATTGTGTTCGTTCTATCTCAAATCAACACATAACGACCGACGCATATAGAAAAAAGTGGAGAAATGATGCAGAAAGAAAACAACCATCATTGACGTTTTTCGTTGTTACTCACTTTGTTTCTGAGTCAAAACTGCTGACGCACGTTATTTAAAATATTGATAACAAGGAGGGTTTCTTCCCTATAAAAAGAACGAGCTAATGAAGAAATTTTCTTGTATAAAAATTAGAAGCCATTTATAAAAAATAGCTCATTATATTTATGATAAATATTTACCTATTGAATTTTGTTAAGTATGATGGAACAATCACATGTCTTGGATGAAGCATTGAAACTCTTGACTGGATTAGATAATGATCTAACGAAACGCGCCAATATTATTCAATATATAAGAGCAAAAGGAAAAATCGCTATCTTCGCTTATGCATCTTTAATTTGGAATCCTTGTAGACATGTAGAGAAGATTATTCCCAATTGTCTTTTGAATGGTTATACCAAAGGATTTATTTGTCAAGATTTTATCTATCGAGGAACAAAGGACTTTCCAGGTCTAACAATGGGTTTAAAACCATGTGAAAATAGTTTTGTCAAAGGTTATCTATTGATGGCTGGTGTTCATAAATTAATTTCATTCATTGAAACTTTTATCCAACGTGAAACTCCAATCTGTATTGATGGTACTAAGATGGATATTTATACATATGATTTTCTTCCTATAATAATGCCCGATGAAAAGACTATAGAATGGGCATTGACTTGTGTTGTCAATAGTAATAGTCAATTCTATTTACCAATGACACTTTCAATTAAACAACAAGCACAAATCATAAGTCGAGCTTATGGAATTAATGGAACAAATTTTCAATATTTACATAACACTTTGTATACCTATAGGCAATTGTCTATAATCGATACATTTACTGAAGAAATGGAAGAATTGTATGCTGCTGTTAATATTTACCGTCAATATTTAACTGACTATGAACGTCGATGGCTCGAAAGTTTTGAAAAACTGACGACGAAAGATGAACGAGAATTAGCGATCGAATTACGAAAGACAAACAATATTCTCATGAGACGACAAAAGTTATTTCATCGTACATATTCGATAGAACCCATAGTCACTACCAAATATAATCGAATGATATCTGTCTAATCATGACAGAAGTATCTCGTTTTCACCATCATGTTGTTACTTGAATCCATTCTA